GGTGGCAGACGCCTTTGATTCCCGAAACTAAAACCCAACCCAAACCAAAATACAAAAGCCCTACAATTCTTCTACTTTTTGAAAAACTGTGGCAGGTACACCGGGGTTTCCCTGTGCTGTGGTGTCCGTGTCTGACACATACTCATGGGAAAAGGGACCAAAAGGAGAAACACCCAGTGTTCCCACTTCTCATCACTGCACAGGTTCTACACCAGACACTGGTAGCTCTGCTCTATGTCCTGAATCTCCTAAAATGTACAGTTTTCAACAGTGACGTCTAACAGTGACGAGGCTCTCCACTCCTGCTCTCTTCCACACCATCATCCACCTGTGCAGGGTGGCCACCCGGCTTTAGGGAAACTGAGGGGACTGGCCTCAGCCCTGGCCCTTGGCCTCTATCCACTTCTATCCACATCCAGGCTTGGTCTGAAGGTGGATAGAACAGCCACACTACTCTTTTCTGCTTCACTCTGCATACTGAACCAGAGGGGCCTAAGGCCCAGCCTTCACCTATCTGAGCTTACGTGTCATGAAGTCACACACTGTCATCACAACATGGCTGGTAAAGAAATCAATCTTTACCCTCATGTGCAGAACAACCTGTCATTCGGTCTACATATGAAAAAGAAGGCCTGACTAGAAAGGGTGCACCCTTAACTGGCAAGAACAAATCTGTTCTCCACACAAATAAAGACCTGGGTTCCTGAGTGGACCCAGCAGGAATCCCACATGAACTTGGGCCAGGGCTCTTGCTGATGGTGGCTGCTCAGATCTAAGAGAAGGATAATGACCATCCAAGTAGTCTTAGTATGCCAGACTGTTGTGACAGGCACCATTATTAAGCCACCAAGGCCTAGACAAAAGAGTGGCTCATTGAAGGCCACACAATTCCTGAGAGCCCAGACAGGGTCCCCAAACACAACTCTGCCATCACAGAACTGGGAAGCACATACAATTAGCCCCCTTTCTTGCTCAGGCAATGCCTGACTTCTCGGAGGCCTGCTGGCTCCCATGAGAGTGATAAGCTCCCAGCACTAGGCTTGGGCCTCCCCCTGGCTCCACCTGCTAAGCCTCAAAATATGCTTGGCATCTCTGAAGACAGGCTCACTCCATCACAGCTGTGCCAGTCCTGTGTTCAGGGGAAGGTGGCCAAGGCCACGCCTCCACACGCTGGCAGGGATGGCCTGGAGCGGCCATTCACATGCCTGGGGCAGATTCTCTGCCAGGTATAGGTATCTGATTCCCATGTCCCTCAGAACACCACCAGGGTCTGATATGGCAGTTAAACACATTATTAAAAGTAGAAGGGACTGTCAAATTCCTTCATGACCCCTTGTCCACCATTTCATAGTTAGAAAGGTGGGTCCAGAAGAAGGAAGGTCACCCAACAGAAGGTGGACCACAAGGGCACTGTACAGATGCGTACAACCTCCTCACAAGTGCCTCAAGGATCTGCAAGACCCTCAGGTAAATCACCTTCATACAGACAGCCCATTACTGACACCCCACATGAGCCCACAAAACACACTGTGGCTCCTGTGCTTCCCCCCACCCCCAAGATCTGTCTGCTCAGAAATGGACAGTCTGAGGATGTCAGAGGATCAGGGGAACCACCACTCATTTAAAATTAGACCAGGACTTTCCCCTCTCTGGAAGCAAACACTCCAGAAAGCTGGGCCTCATGTTGGCAGGGCACCAATCTGTGTACCTTGAAGTGCACCCTCTGCTAACCCCTTCGTCACTCCTGCCTCCTCAAGTGGCACAAGGGTTGGAGACAACAACTTAGGCAAGCCCAGAGTCAAAGGGCCTGCCAGGAAGTGTCTAAGCTTGAGAGGTGAATGCGACTTCCAGGAAGAAGGGAGATGCAGAGTGGCCCCACAAACTGGCAAGGCATGACACACAGGGCAGCCCTCAGAGGTGGCAATAGCAGATAGCCAAGCAAAGACAAACAGGCATAGGGAGGTACTACAAGCACTACAGTGAGGAGCTTGAGGCCTGAATGACAAAGTGGAGGTAGGCTGACAAAGCATTTACTAGGTGCCAGGGTCTGTGCCCAGCCTGACGCTGGATTCCACCCACATAGGCATGGTGATACACACAGCTCAGCAACACCAGAAGTGACAGGGGACAGCAATGAGGGTGTGTCCAGGCCTGTTCATGGACCAAGCCCAGGTGGAGGGAAACTGCTTCTGGGAATCTCTCATGACAGAGATGGGGAAGCTGAACTCAGCCCATTCTCGTACGGTAACTGCCCTGCTCTGGCAGCCCAGCACACCTATATACCCAAAGCTTCAGCACAGGACACAGCAAGCTGTTTCATGACCATTTAGGACCATGAAGAAACTGACAAAAGTCCAGCTAATCCTCTTCCCCACCATGCTGGATATAAGGAAAAGAGGCACAGAATAACTTGGGACAGATGTGGCCCTTACTGAGTCAGAAACAAAATATCAGCAAAACAGGCCATGGGACATCCTCTCCACCTGTAGGTCAGTCAACACCCAGACCATGATTATCAGCAAGACACAGCCATTCACTCAGAAATAAAGACAGCGGGGTCAAACTGAGTCAGCTCACCTACCACAAGTCTGTCCTTAGATCTGGTCATAAACCCTTTCACCCAGGTCAGACAGCTTCCTCACCTCAAAGACTTGCATGATTAAATGCGGACAAGAGTACAAGCATCTCAACTACAGCCTAACTTGTTAGTAACTAAATCTACCACTTTTAAAGGAACAAACAACTTAAACAGTTCACCTCTCTATGGGAGAAAACTTCCCACATACACTGTCTCCTTAAATCTTGACTTGTTTTTTAAGTAAGAAGTTAGAATTTCAAATACAATACTGACCAAAATTAAAGAGTTTGACAAGAGCCTGCTCTGGCATGGGTGTGAGGGACAGACACAATGCTGTCAAGAGGCAAATAGGCACAAACTTTTGGCGACACTCTCTGAAGCTGATGCATTCCTCTGGATTCTACTAGAAACTTCCGAAAGAAACCTTATCCCAACTTACAAAAGGGAGAGGAGCAGTCTGCCCAAGCCTATATAGCCAGTATGGGGATGGCATTAGGCTAAGCAAATACCTAAAGGGCACCTAGAGAACAGATCACACCCTCTTCCACACGTCCTAAGAGGTTTCCCTCCAGATAACAAGGCTCGATGTGTGCCACTGTTCTTCACTGTGCCATAAAATGATTCTACCCATAATAATATTTGCATGAGGCTGACCAATGGAAGTCACTGAAGTGAGGACCAGCTAGGTCACCCACAGCCTGTTTTCATTGTACATGGAAGGAAATCTGCTAATTCAGAAGAGGATAGTGGGCTTCCCAGGAGAGGTTCACAGGCATTCCAAAGGAAGTGGGAAGGCAACCAATCTGTATATGCAAAGGGAGTGGCACTATAATTAACAGTTGCTACCTGCCTGGAGGACCAAGGAGGGGGGGAGGGGAACCCCAGACTGAAGACTAGATTTGGGAAGAGGACACACCCACTCCATATTTTCACAGTCCTGACCTTCATCTATAACATCAGTTTACCTGACACTCTCCTTCCAGGGGGGTTGCCCATCCCACTCCTTTGGTCAACCCTCTGCCAATGGAGCCTGGCTTGAGGAAGTTACTGATGTCCTCTGATAGGCAACAGATTTGAAATTCTGTGTGAAGACTCAATTCTTACCCACCCGAAGAAGCAGCCACTTCTGGGACTCATCCAGCCCTGCTCTACCCAGACTTTAAGGATTCATTCCCCCAGAAAAGTAAGAGAGGTTCTGAAGAGTTCAGGCACCTACCCAAAGTTGGCTGGGAGCAGACGTATCAAAAGATGAGCCTGTGATGAATACCCAAGAGCAGAACTGAGTCTGACAGGGAAGGGAAACTGTTTGGATAATCCAACAAGCTACCTGTATGGCCTCATGCCAGGCCTTTCCAAATATAGAATACTAAGAGACCAATACTTCTGGATTGGCAAAGCTGTATTCCTACTTTGCAGCGCTGGAAGCTAAGGTCTGAGGAGAGCTTACCCATGGCTTACCTATGGCTCACCCATGGCTCACCCATTATAAGCAATAAGAAGGGGTTAGTCCAAACTCACGTGTGTCCTTCTCCCATAAAGCATTTCCCCCACAGTCACCAGAACAAGGTTGGGGAATCAAGAAGGACGGAAGAGTCACTAACACTTAAAGCATCCCAGAAAGCTTATCCAGCTACCTCCTATTGCCTCTCCCCAAGCTCTTGGCCAGCCTGGGGGGCGGAGGGGGGTCTAACCTCTCTCCCTACAGTGGGATGACACAAATCACCATGTTTCTGACAGAAGGAACACAGATTCCATGGTGACAGGCAGGGCCTATAAGACAGAGCAAGACAGGAAGCGGTCGATGGAAGCCATGCATCCCAGTAGTGGGAGTACCATTAATGAGATGGGGGGAAAGCTGGCTGAGCTAGAGCTAAGCCACACAGATGCGATGGATACCGGGAAAGCCGGCCTGTCAAGGGCCATAGGCAACCAGGAGCTGCGACTCACTCAGCCCTGTATCCATTCCTTCTCAGCCTCAGGCAGTCACGAAACCAGAATAATAGCACAGAAAGCAGCTGCTCCAAAAGGGGGTAAGTGATTTGCTTGAAGGTGACAAACTGTGGTCAACCAGCCCCAGGTCCAGTCTTTCCCAGGGGTCACTTGCACGGACAGCCCCAGCTGTAAGGACATCATCTGCTCATCCCCCCCCCCACCACTTACACAGACACACCCGAGGCAGCAATAACCATAGCAGGACATTAGTCCTCAACGAAAGGGCCAACAAGGCCTGCAGAGAAAACTAGCGGATGAGTGGGACTGCAGGGAGTCTAGACCCCAGCAACCAGGCACCGGGCCGAGCACGGTCACTCACGGCCACTGCCCTGGACCGCAACTCTAGGTCTCCTGCCCCACCCCTGGAACCTCCCACCACTGGGCAGGGTGACCTTAGCGCCCGAGGCGGGGGTCGCAGCCGGCCACTCACCTCTTTGAGCTGCTCCATCTCGCTGCGGATGGCCTCATAGTCCACCTCGAGTTCCTCGAACTGCAGCTTGAGCTGGTGCTTCTCCTCCAGCACCGCCAGCCCATACTCGGCCGCCTGGATCTTCTCACGCGTGGTCTCGGCCAGCTCGTGGGACAGCCGCTTTACCTCGGCGCGCAGCCACTCCGGCTGCGCCTCCATCACCAGACGCGCATACTCCTCCTCCTCCGACGGCGCGGACATGGTGGCCGCGCGCCGAGGCTGGCTCCCACCTTGGCTCCCACAAGCCGGGCCCTCTTAGCTGCCGCCGCCGCCGCCCAGCCCCGACGGCCGCCCGCGCCGCCGCACTGCTCCTCCCTAACGCGCGCGGAACACTGGGGGCTGCAGTCCCACTGAGCTTGGACTACACAACCCGCAATCCCTTGCGCCCACACGGTCCGCGGCTGTGATTGGTCTAAATCTTAAGGGGATAGGGGGGGCCTAACGTGACGCAAAGCTACGTCCCCCTTAGCATTGTGGGAAATGTAGTCCTACATTACGTTCACTGCTTGGTCCGTTGTGCGCCGTGCTCGCCTGGCTGCAATAGTTGATTGGCCAGCGCTGCTGACGTGACAGAAGTGGGGTGCCACCGACCCCAGCCTAGGGACCCGGCAGCCACCCGGAGAACTTCTAGCCTTCCGCTCCCAGCCTTTGTGGAGTAAGATGATCCGAGCTGTGGATTCCACGAATAAGATTCGCGTCCTACAACGTCAGAGCATGGTTGGTGAGACTGTGTGGCGCGCGCTTTATGCGGAATTCGAATAACTTGTGGCGGGCCGCGGGCACTGCCAAAAGGATGCCAACAGCCTGACGCTAGGGGATCAGGGGAGCCCAAGCCCGGATACTACTTTCTCTTGTCCCCGTTGTCCGTTAGGATTTTTTTTTTTCATGGAAATGAAGGCACCTCCGTGAGCATAATGTCATAGGTATGTTTAAATGTTGTCTGTCCCCCGTTTTCCGCGGGACATAGCTGCACTCTTCACTATAAGTCTAAATAAAACTTCCTTCCTCGCATGTTGATTTGGTTATAACAAACTTGTTGTTCCTCTTCTCCACACACCCCCGCAACACCACACCCTACAGCTGTGGACCACCATAAAACATAGAGGTCAGCTGGAGAGATGGCTCAAGGGATAAAGCTCTTGCTCAGCAAAAGCAATGACCTATATTTGCACTCCTAGAGCCCACATAAAGCACAGTCTATAACCCCAATGTTCCCGGAGCAAGCTAGGAGGTGGAAACTGGAGAGTCCTCTGAAGCTAGACTGGCGTATGAAAAGAAGAGGGGAACATGGGGTGGGGAGAGATAAGAAAAACAAAGATAACCGGCCTCAAACAAGATGGAAGACAAAGACTGACAGCTGGATCTTGTCCTGATTCCCAGTGCATGTGGGGCCTGTGAGCACACACAGGAACATGAACCCACTTCACACACACAAAGAAAATCTAGGGTCAACGCAAGAATTGTGTAGTAAATAAACTTGGTGTGGTGGAACACATCTTTAATCTCAGCACTTGGGAGGCAGAGGTAGAAGGATTTCAAGACCAGCCTGATCTACATATCAAGTTCCAGGCCAACCAGGACTAAATAGAGAGACCCTGTCTCAAAAACAAAACAAGAGAGAGCTGTATAAATAAACGTGTTATTCCTCCTTCTCTTTAGCCAACCAGCCTAATTTTCTAGAACAGTCCAGGCTCTACACTGAGGCCCACATATCAGGCCCATGCAAGCTGTTCACACTAAGTGTGTGTGTGGGGGGGGGATTTAGAAGGCACAAACCTTCCTCCAACAAGCACATAGCTCTACAGTACCTGCAACTATCCTGGCTGCCTGGGAACCTCTCTACCCCAACCTGAACCTGACTATTGAGCAGATGTGAGTAAGGAGGGGGAGGGGGAGAGCTATGGTTTCTGGTGAGAACCTGACCAGGGAACTTTGAACTTGAAGATAAAGGTGACCACAGGCACATTGAGATACAAATGGTGGGTCACTACTTTTGTGGGCTTCCTTCAGCAGGGACAGTGCTGACCAGCAAGCTTAGGGCCCGGAGGAAGGTTTCTAGGATCAAGTTGTCACTGGTAGGAGTGGGGCAACCAAGAAATACTTCTCTGAGGAGGTGACTTCAGAGAGAGAGATCCAGAGGACTCCACATTCAAGCTGATGTAGATGGATCTCCCCCACACTTGCAGATGAGAGACCATCTCTTTATCACTTCCTGGGTCACCAGCCTCGCCAAGTCTTTGACTTGCACCAGCTCACTCAGCGCTCTCGATATTCCGGAAGGTTCACACCATTGTTTTATGAGTGAAGAAACTGAGGCTGTTACCAAATCCTTGGTATTGCCCTTGACTTCCCACCCTCTCATCCATTCATGCTGTCACTCTGCCTCTCAGCAAATACTGCCTGAGAGTTACCTGCTTGTCTCAATGGCCCAGCACCTCTGCCCGAATCATTGACGTCACCTCTTTTCCTCCCCTCCCCTCCCAAAACAAAGATGTTGAAACCATTTCCAAGTCTGCACATGCTCTGGAAGGGCCTCTTCACTCCACCCACTTGAGTGTTGATTCTCCTTCTGTGCTTTAGTTGGCTTCCTTCTGTTGAATGTGTGTATTCTTACATGGTGGGTGAGTCACCTTAGAATGTCAGCTCCAGGAGGGCAGGAACCTTGACAAGGCCCAGCATTTTCTAGCCCATATCTGGGGCTCCAGCCATGTTCCTAAGGGATTCCTCTCATGCAGTCTAGCCTAAGCCAGCACCACTCCCTGGAAATGTCTGCCTCTGGTGATGAGGCAGAGGATGCACATGAGGATGGAGGCAGCCTGGTAGAGAAGAACTTGAAGCTAGTAGTGAGGACTACTAGCCAAAAATGCCGTGTTCTTATCCACTGATGGACTTAGGGGCAGAGAGGAGTGAATTTTTCTATATCAACCTGCTGTGCAATTATGAACAAAGACTCCACTGTATCAGGCATCCCAGACAAAGCTGGCCAGTCCTGCACATAGATGCCCTGGCGAGGACTTACCAATATGGAGCACATCAGGTTCTGTATACTTGATGTTTTCTGGAGAGCGGTCCTGGTCCATATAAGTACCTCCTGATGGCCCAGGAGCAAAGTGTTCTCTCTTCTTCAATGGCAGCCTGCTTGAGCATGTTTGACTAACCTAGAAGAACCATGCATGATATAGCATTCCTGAAAACCCATGACGTATGACGGCAAATGGTTATGGGTTTAAATCTAAATCTCACTCATTCAACAAACCCCTGTGTCAGGCCTTGGGAGTTCAGACACATTACTAATGGTAATACTGGAGGCCTTAACATCCTTATTACCATTTATCCTGCTCCGAGACCTGTGCTTCAGAATTAATTTCTTGGGTTAGTGAGATGGTTGAGAGAGTAAAGGTACTTGTTCCAAAACTGATGACCTGAATCCAATCCCCAGACCCACGTGAAGGAAGGAGAGTACTGACTTCCACAAGTTGTTCTGAGAACTACATGACACACACACACACATACACACACACACACACACACACACACTCACTCCTGGCTGATGAGCAGATGGATACTCCTCTCCCTTGGGTATTCCTGCCCTGCCCTTCACTTCTTTCCTCATGTATCTGGGGGCATGGGGTCCTGTGGCTTGAGCCAAGATAGCTCTGGATGAGACGGCCCATTGGGACTATCACCCGACAGTTAGGCTGTCCGCCAGTGCCTCTCCCAGCTTCACAGAGAACCTTTTGTCCTGTAAAGCTCTGACCTACTCCTTAACTGATGCACTGATTCAACATGGACCCTATCAGAATCCCAGGTGGCTGCTTGTTTTCTAGAACTCTATCAATCAATGGGATAAAACGGAGAGCCTAGAAACTAACCCATACCTTTATGGTGAGCAAATGCTCCAGAAAACAAAAAACAAAAAACAAACAGATATCAAAGAGCAAAGTGTAAACCACCTCGTGTCAGGTGCAAAATTAGCCCAACTAGGATTAAAGACCTAGTTAGCACTATAATACTCCAGAAGAAAACACAGGGCTAGATTTTTGTGGCCTTGGATTAAGCAGTGGTTTCGTAGATATGACATCTGAGCCTAAGGGACAGCGGAAGAGAGAGAGAGACAGAATAGAGACAGAGAGACAGAGAGACAGAGAATATGAATCACCAAATTTAAAATCTCTCTTTCAAAGGATGATTTTAAATAGTGGGAGAGAAATCCAGTGACTGGGGTTCATCCCCTGAACACAGAGGTGTCATCTATAAGCTGTAACCTCAGAGCCCTGCACAGGGTGTCTTGGACCTCTGCAGGCCTTATATAGTGTAAGGACCCCATCTAAGAAAGAGCTGGGAGTAAAGGGCTTTTCTTTCTTTCATTCTTTTTCTCTTTCTTTTATCTTTCTTTTTTCTTTTCATTTTTCTTTTTGTAGTCTCTCTAAATAGTGTGTCTCTGGAACTCACTCTGTAGTCCAATCTGGCTTTGAACTCAGGGCTCTGCCTGTCTCTGCCCCTCTGTCCCTCTGCCCTTCTGCACCTCTGCCCCTCTGCCCCTCTGCCCCTCTGCCCCTCTGCCCCTCTGCCCCTCTGCC